TGTGGTTCCATGTGGGCTGGATTTTGTGTGTGATGTCATTTTTCAGATCAGGCCGTTCAACACTGGCCAATCGGTTTAAGGCAGGAGGTTTGTGGGAGGCCGTCATGGGAGTGGAAGAGCAGCAGGAGAGATCAGTTATAGCCCCGAAGAGAAAAATATTGACCTAGAGGAAAGTGGCTGAAGCTCAGCCCACCTCTAGTTGTGACAGCTGTGGAGGTTAACCAGATCAGACAAGAAGTGGAATTAGGGTTTAAGTCTCCATTTCAGTCTAAGACACATGACATTGTCTGGCCTCTATTGTGATCAGGCACATTCTTACTGTCATGATTAGTTCCTCTCAGTGTCCCTGGCATTAAAACAGTTACTGTTCGGCAGTTGTTCTTCATCTACTACAAATTATAACGAATTTAATTCATTGTGCTTTTCAGATCAGTTTGATTTTGTCCCTCTGGGTATATTCTGTGCTTGTGTTGGAACTCTTTTCACCTCTGTAGTGTGCATACCTCAGCGTTCAGGAGCAGACAAAGGCTGGAGTCTGGCTGCATCACAGTGTAGCCGGAGGAGATGCATTTTGCAGCTGTAACCAGTTTGTCATGCAACACACCAGGGCCTACTGAACAACGTCCAAATGTCCATAAAGTAAAATATGTTTATGTTATACTGCTGCATGTAATCTATAAAAAAAAAAAAAAAGAAGAAAGATAAAGATGTTTATTGTCACATACACTGGATAGGTGTTTTACGGGGTCAGCCATAGTAGTACGGCACCCCTGGGTTAAGTGCCTTGTTCAAAGCACATTGACAGATTTTTCACCCTGTCAACTCAGGTATTCGAACCAGCAACCTTTCATTTACTGGCCCAAGGCTCTAGGCAGGATGGCTTCCCCCAAAAATGTACCAATAAAAAAATACATTTAATAAATGTCCTTAAATTTGAAAGAGGCTGAATGTATCTCACCGGAGAAAGCATCCGATCGAACGAAACAGTATGTGTAGCCCATCTATCTGATGCTGTCTGGTCAAAAAGAGTATGACATTGTTGCCGCCCGTAGCATTGAATGCAAGGGAAGCTAGCGAGCATTTGGCCTCCCTTGATAATTTTAAAAATAAAATAATAGCCAATCAGCATTGAGCTAAACTAAATGAGCTCAGCTGTGAATGGTCCTGGCGCACACAAAAAAGTGTCAAGGGAGGCCAGTTTTGGATTTGGCTTCACACCAATCACATCACATCACATCAGAAGCCAAACGTCATTGACAGAAAAAAACGTGAATTGTTGCATCTTGTTGTGTCGTTGTCCTCCGGTGGCTAGCTAGCTAGCTAAAGTCGTCCCTTTCCTGAATTAGCCATGGATGGAGATAGGGATTTGGACTTGTGGTTTTACCTAATTCTCTGTACTGACCAATGATTATAACGGCGATTCTGATCCAACCATAAATTCATATATTGTGCCCCTGGCCTGAGAGGATGGAAGTTCAACATGTAGCTAGATGTAGTAGGCTAATTTTAACCAACTGGCCTGGCGCATCATTGCCCATGAAAGGAAGTTAGTCTAGCGAGCAAGCATTTTAGCCAGGTAGCCGAGGACAACAAAAACTAAAAGTGTGTACTCTATGACAGTCATAGACCGTTTCGGCAACATGAAAGAGAGGAGGATAGCATTGGAGTTTCTCTACAAGTAGGGTGAGTCAACATGTTTTTTTCTACTTGCACACACACACCAACACACACAGAGAGAGAGAGAAATCAGTACCATAGACAGTCACATCATATTTAGCTTACATTGATTGGACAAAATAGTTTTTGGTATCTTTTAGTTGTCGCTGTATTAGACTAAGCATATGTGATTAGATAATGTTGAAATGTTGAAGTTGAAATGGTGCTGGAATAGTGGAGGCAACACCTGTTTTCTTTGCGACTTGCTCTAACTCCGTGGTTCTAAATCAATAGTTGTTTAGTAGTCGGAAAATGTGGGAAACATTAACTTGCTTGACCATGCTGTAGGTCATGTGACTGTTTGTTACGTGCAATATGTTTTGTGGACTTCACCGGACAGATGTTGCACTCTGGTTTTGTGATGAAACAATGGTGTGGTTGAATTTATTCTGCCACTGTGTCTTCTTATTGTCTCGGCCTTAGGCCTATATATCACGGTGTCAAGGAATATGAACTAACAGGTTATAGAGCCAACAACACAATTATCACATAGGTTCGAATATGGCTTTTTTCCCTGTCTTGGCTTCCCTGGTGATTTTACCCACGCACCGCTACTGCTGCTAAGCTACCTGCCGCCTTATATAGGCACCTGGCTTTGACACTGAATGCGGAGACTGAGAGTGCACCATAGTTCAGTCAAGTCAATGGGTTGCCTTGTTCTGTTTGGGATGGGAATGTCTCTATTGCAGTTTCCCAAACTTAAAACGTTGTCACGATCGTCGAAAGGATTGGACCAATGCGCAGCGTGGAATGCGAACATACTTTATTAAATATTCACCACACGAACAAAACAACAAAACGATACGTGAAGTCCTTGGTAACAAAACACAAACCATACACGGAACAAGATCCCACAATACACTGTGCCAAACAGGCTGCCTAAGTATGGTTCCCAATCAGAGACAACAATCAACAGCTGATTCACGTTGCCTCTGATTGAGAACCACACCGGCCAACATAGAAAACACATAACTAGAGACTACCATAGAAACACAAAACATAGACACTACACACCCTGGCTCAACATAACAGAGTCCCTAGAGCCAGGGCGTGACAAACGTCCATGTTTGTTCCTTGAACGAGTGTATTTGCAAGTAAAAGGAGGTCGTTGAAAACCCCAGATTATGCAAACCTGCAGGTTTTTACTTCCCTTTATATTACATGAAAAACAGCCAAAGACCATTATTCCTCCTCCACCAAATTTGACAGTTGGCACTATGCATTCGGGCAGGTAGCTTTCTCCTGGCATCTGCCAAACTCAGATTTGTTCGTTGGACTGCCAGATGGTGAAGTGTGATTCATCACTCCATTTAGATTTCAGGTAGAATTTCCATGTAAATGTACAGCATTATACTGGCACTACACTTGCCAGCTTAATACTGTAATTTTGCTTTACAGCAAAGATGCTGTAATATGTTTTACAGTACTATTTTCCTTACTGTAAAGACATATTACAGCATCCTTGCTGTAAATCTACAGGGATGCTGTAATGTTTTACAGTAAGGAAAAGAGTACTGTAAAGCTAAATTACAGTATTAAGCTGGCAACTCTGGGCCAGGATAATGCTGTAAATTTACAGTGAAATTGTACCTGAAATCTAAGCGTAAGAAAAATAATACATTTGTACATAAAATACATTTATTTAAATTGGTAACAACATTAAAAACGAATTAACAACATAATTGACAATATAAGTAACAAGAAGTTAACACATATGTAACCAAATAAGAGAATCATTACAACACTAATGTAAAAACTAGAGCGAGGGAGACTGAGTTAAAATTGGGATTGGGTAAAATCTTCAGATGCAGAGCTCCGAGCTCCAACATGCAGGACTAAGAGAAATAAAACAATGAAAATAGTAATAAGAAAAATAGAAATAGTACTATATACAATACATAATAACAACTGTAGCAGTGATGAATAAATAAATGTCCATTGGGGTGGACATTGACCATAGGGGGAACAGCAGTCAGACTAAATGACCATTGAGGGGGTGTGGGGACCAAATGAAATAAAACAATACAAATAATAATAAATAAATAAATAATAATATATACATACTGTATGTCCAGGCATGAGCTATCTAGTCACATTCCACAGTGAGACAGACATCATGAATACACCCCAATATGTTGCTTATCTACTCTGTCGGACTGCCCAGCGTCGTCTGGGTTTGGCCGGGGTAGGCCGTCATTGTAAATAAGATTTTGTTCTTAACTGACTTGCCTGGTTAAATAAAGGTTAAATAAAATAAATGCAGGTAGAATGGCTTTTATTTAGTCATGTGTGATACTTGACACCGTTGTTACTGTTGAGGTGTGACACGTCATGCGATGCAGGGGGATCTTGCACTGTTGTTTCCATTCGTTGGCCTCCCATTAGCTTGGAACTGTCAAACAAGACAGGGGATCTGCCTGAGCTTGTCCTCTGTGGAATGCTTTGACCAACAAACACATAGGCCTACCCCACTGGGCACAGACCTCAATTCAACATCTATTCCACGTTGGTTCAATTTAATTTCATTGAAATGACATGGAAACAACTGTGATTAAACCAGTGTGTGCCCAGTGGAACATTGATGCAAAGGCCTTCATGCGATGTTGATGCTGTGTTTTGTTTGATTAGATATGATGCACAGTATGAGCTATTCTCTATTATAAACTGGGTGGTTCGAGCCCTGAATGCTGATTGGCTGAAAGCCGTGGTATATCAGACCATATACCATGGTATGACAAAACATTTATTTTTACTGCTCTAATTACGTTGGTAACCAGTTTATAATAGCAATAAGGCACCTCAGGGGTTTGTGATATATGGCCAATATACCACAGCTAAGGGCTGTGTCCTAGCACTCCACGTTGCGTCGTGCTTAAGAACAGCCATTAGCCGTGGTATATTGGCCATATACCACAACCTCTGGCCTTACTGCTTAATTGAAGCTTTGTGTGGGTGTTATGTGGGCAATGTGTGTAAGCCCTTGACCATCTGTTTGTCATGGTCTTTGATAAAGGAGAAAACAATGCAGCAGGATAACAATGGTGACGGCATGTCACTTTTATCTGCTGTCTATAATAGAACGAGGGAAATGACTGATATAATCTAAATCAATCTCAGTGGGAACGTTGTAATGGACAAGAAACAAAAAGTCCTCATTTTCATGATGCCAGCCTCTACACATTATAGACCTCAGTTCAGTGTAGGTCATTTATCTATAGACATTGTTTGTTTTCCCCACTGTATCTAGCCACTGTATCTATTTTCCTATGTCATCTTCCCTAGGAGCTCTGAATGGTATTAGCCCATTCGAAGGCTTATCTTCTGATCGCGAGGCATTACACAGGAGACACCAGCTCGCCAAACGAGAGACACAGCCTCAGGACCAGACACTACAGCTGGACCCCAGAGCTTTTCACAGGTACAAGCTCAAGTCCAGGAGATGCTGTTTCAATGCCTTTCTAATGAAGTATATCATTGTCAACGGTTGTTTCCACCTTTGTGCTTTGTGTCTTACAATTGTTCACTTTAGGACCTTCCGCTTGCGTCTGAGGCGAGACACGATGGGATTCACGGAGCCTTTTAAAGTCTTCTCTGAAAACAGATCCAGCACAGTGGACCTCTTCCATCTATATTCTGAAGAACTTGAAGGTATGACACTTCAAGGATTCGTGACGTCATAATCCAACATACTGCCTCCCCTCAAAAATACAATCTGCCTGCCTGTCTATCTATCTCTCCCCTCCATCTCTCTCTAACTCCCACCTGTCTGTCACTTACCAGATGAGAGGTGTTCCTCCTGCCACAGCACTGTCATCCAGGGCCAGTTTGAGGGTTCCGTCCTCACAACCAGTGGGACGTATCAGGTAGAGGCCATCCACAGATACACCAGCCAGCCCTCACAACACCACTCCATCATCTACCATGAGGACGACATGGATAAGAGGATTGTTGAACATCTAATGAGTGTTCTTCTTAAATGTATATCAATGGTTATATTGCTTCCCCAAAATGATATGGTCTATTACAAACGATTCTCAAAATATATCTGCCATTGTGTCACATGGGTATGTATCCACCCTTCCTCATTTTTGGAATGAGGAAATTAATATAAACCTATAAAAAGACCATGACCTCATCTACCAAAGGTCAGGCTGACATATTTTATGACATCATGGTCAGATGAAATGGACTAACGCTCAATGCAATGCCCTGATGCCTCCTTACCACACCAGACCAGAGCAGAGCAGATCATGGCATTGACCAGCAGAGAGGATCCTGCACCAGGGCCAGACTAATGGCTGGCAATTGTTCCCTATCTCTTCTTTCATCCTAACCCAGTTTTAAACCAGCAGGCTGTGGGCTGAAGTTACGGTGGGTCACTGATCCAGTCATGCCCTGTGCTTTTCAGAGCAGAAAGGAGGTAATGGGTTAACAGAGTCCTCTTATGGAGCTCTGGGGGGTGGGAGGAGGTGGAGACTCACTCAGAACTCCAGCCAAAGAAAATAAAAACCTGAGATGATGTGAGGGAGGAGGAGTGTCAGGTGACCTTCCTCCCAAGGCTGGGAACCCTTGGAGCTGGGTAGGCCTCTGAGAGGGCCTGACTAGAGAGGTTTGGCCAGGTGGCACTCATTGGAAAGAGCCGTCATCCTATTTAACGTACGTCTCTGTGTGTGTGTGTGTGTGTGTCAGTGTAAGATGAATTCCAGGAAAGAGGTTAGCTCCCTGGAACCATATTACGCACACAAAGCCAAAACCGACTGCTTGTACTGGAGCTTTCTCAAGCTTTTTGTTGGATAAGGATTAAGGTCTCCTGGTCCCCAGACGTGGTATGGACCAGGTTTGTTTGTAAATAGGCCTTTAGGCACAGCACTCCAGACAGACAGACTGCATGCTTAACGTCTTACTAACGTTACTTTTATCAACAGACTGTCTGACTAGTGTCGCATAGATTTACACCATGAAGGTCAAGCTCATAACACCGTGGAATAAGTTTTACCACACATGGGGTCATAAAGCATTGAGATTATCTCCAATGACTTGGATAAGAGTAGTCTTTTGAAGTGTGTGTGTGTGTGTGTGTGTGTGTGTGTGTGTGTGTGTGTGTGTGTGTGTGTGTGTGTGCATGGAGGAGAAGAGAGATGGGGGCAGGCTAGTACTGACAGGTCCCCATGCTGTGTAGAGTCCTGGCAGACAACCCAAAGTTAAACAATACCAGAGAGAGGAGTGTCCGACTGTGTCTGTGTGTGAGCGCTCTGTGGTAACCCCTGGTCACGTGACCTCTCTTTTGAAGTCACACCACCATGGTGTGAGAGAGGGATAACTATCGAGCATTTCTCATGCTCGCTGGGGCTCTGTCATTCAGCCTGCTAGCTCTCCTTCCGCTCTGGGTGTCATTAGTTAAGAGGCTCACTCATGAAAACATACTTAGACATCCCCGCCCACAACCTTCAGATTGACAATGTCTCTAGTTCTGCTTGTAAGTGAAAAACAAAATAAAAACAACAGTGAAGAATATGTATTCCAGATGTGTGAAATAATTTTTGCTTTAAGATCTATTCAAAAGATCCTCACACAGTGCTTTCACACATCGTTCACATTGTAGTCCCGTGTAGCTCAGTTGGTAGAGCATGGTGCTTGCACCGCCAGGGTTGTGGGTTCGATTCCGAAGGGGGACTAGTATTAAAAAATAAGTATGAAAAATGTATGCACTCACTACTGTAAGTCGCTCTGCTAAATGGCTAAAAAATAAATATGTGTTGTAAAGGGACAGCTGTTGAATTACATCCAGCCTCAAAGACTGATTTCAGTCCCTTCATGGAGGATTTCGCAGAAAGAATCTGTGTTGGGAAATAGTCCCTGTGACCATGCTTGCAACACCCACACAGGGTCTTCGCCTGGGTTGATGACATGATTTGTAGCCCACCATGGATGACATCTCAGGGGGGCTACTTTTAGCAAATTACTCCGTTACAGTGACAGAACTTGTCAATTAGCACATTCAAGGGATGTGGCCATGTTCTCCTATAGGATTTAACTTTAACTCAAAAAATATATCTGGTGACTGGGGGTTCTGATCTAATCTGTGGCTGAGTATGGCACAGTGTCTCAGTGCACGTTTTATGGAATACACTTTTAGCCCTGAATTGGTTTAATCTTCAGGTAAACCAAACAGGAAATCCACCTATGCTTTTCAAACGTGCACGTTACACATGCAAAGTGTAATAGACTGTTTAAACTATGTATGGGATATTTAAATTAACTAGACTGCAGTGAGACAGATCAAGTTTAGTTATTTAAGTTGGCGAAGAACTATGCCTTTTTTTAAGAGTTTGGCTGCACGGTCCAGGAATTTCTAGAGCGTTTGCTTACTTTTGTCTCCCCATGCACGCATAGTTGAGAGAGAGCACAACTCTCCAGCTCTGAGGCTCAAGAAGCACATGGCAGACATCTGGAAATAATTCTGTCAATGGGTCAACGCCCGGCATTTAACCCCCTCCCCCTCTCCCCGGTCCAACATCCCCACCAATGCCATCTATAGACCCAATAACGCATTGTCTCTCTGAGTGTTTGATGGAGCCCAGGCGGCAGCATGACAGCAGTGTTTTCTCAGTCCTCCACGGTTCAACCATCAAGTCTTCCTCTGTCAGCCCTTCAATCTGGGTTCGCCAATTAGTAACATGGCAGAATTATTCCAGTAAGTCACATGTGAAAGTGATTATTGTTATGTCATACAGATGTAGAATCTTAATTTGAGCCAGTTTGCAGCAACAGGAAATGTGAATTATTATGTGGATTATAATTCATGTACATTATTTTGTAGGGGCTGATACATTTTTTGTTACGGCAAATCAAGTCTGAAATTTTAAAGTGGAAATTAAAAACTTTAGAAGACTTTTAAAACCTTGAAAAAAATTTTATCAGCAACAAACGACTGATCAAATTAAGATCCTACATCTGTATGACATTATTGTATAATATTGAAGCTAATGACAATTTGGGTAACGTTATTCATTGATTTAATTGGAACAGTCACATCTCTCAAGTTAAAGCGTGTTCTGTTCTCTCTGATGGGTTTGAGTGAGTAGGCTCAGAGAGATCATGGGGTCTGCTATTGAATAATCCCCAGATCTTCTGGTTTGGCTGGGGGGATATACTGAGACTTATAGTTGAAGTTATAGAGCATGCATTGTTATACCAATAGTAAGCTATGAAAATGAGTTCACTGCAGTTCTTTTCTGTAAAAGACCCACGCGGTCTGATATTAGGCCATGATGGTCTGCACTGCCATTGAAGAATACCTTGTTGATAAGGTCAAGGAATAGCAATAATTTTGGGGGGGGGGAATATCCAACAACATCTCTGCAATGTTTTTGGTGTCTGGTGTGTGGATGCAAAGGCCTGTGAGAAGCTATATTTCACTGTGTGCCACAGTGGAGCCTATTTTGTGTAAATATTGTAGGGAGATAGCTTCACTTAAATATTTGCTAATTGGAACCTATGTCTATATGCCTTTGGTTAGTACATATTGCTGGAAAAGCAATGTTTCTCTTTGATTTTGTGTGTTTTGTTTAGGATGTCATCCTCAGTTCCCCAAGCTGAAGTATATATCATATGATATTATCAGTTTTCAAAGTTTTCCTTATGAATAATCACTCATTAGACAGTCATTATTATGCATGCGGTCCCATCCTTGAACCTAATTACCTTAAAATCCATTGCAAAATCAAGTTCCCTGCCAATGCATCATACAGGTAACTGCCAAAATAATGTAATACAAAGGATATTGAAAGCAAGTGCTTCCACACAGGTGTGGTTCCTGAGTTAACCCCCTAGAGTCGATTAACGCACAGGTGCGTCAATCTAAGTAACATAATAAAAGAATCCCCATCAAAATCAGTCAGTTTAAGCTAGAGATTGGAGGCGTCTCAAACCACTGCATCCGCCTATGTCGGATTTCCACATCTGCCGTGAAAGGTGGCAGAGCTAGAGCGATGTTTGTCAGACAATGAGACATCCTGAAAATCGGTCTTCTCATGAAAACGTCTGTACGAACCGTTTGACCTAGAAATTATTATGATCCATCAATGGAAAGATGAGTCTCACGAAAAAGGGGAGACTCTCATGAACACGAACACGATGGTGGGCTCCGTTTTGCTCTACGACCCCCATAAGTGTCACGGGAATCGTCTGAAGGTAACCGGTACCGGTTAAAAAGAATTAATGGAAGTATGAAGGTAGTTTTGTGCCTACCCAAAAAAGAGGTTCAATACTGTATGTGTACAAAAAACAAAACATATTTCCTGAGCTTTCTTATATTTCCTAGATCTCCAATCAAAAGTTAGAATCGGCTTCCTATTTCGCAACAAAGCCTCCTTCACTCATGCTGCCAAACATGCCCTCGTAAAACTGTAATTTACAAAATAGCCTCCAACACTCTACTCAGCAAATTGGATGTAGTCTATCACAGTGCCATCCGTTTTGTCACCAAAGCCCCATATACTACCCACCATTGTGACCTGTATGCTCTTGTTGGCTGGCCCTCACTACATATTCGTCGCCAAACCCACTGGCTCCAGGTCATCTATAAATCACTGCTAGGCAAATCCCCGTCTTATCCTGGCTCACTGGTCACCATAGCAACACCCACCCGTAGTCTGCGCTCCAGCAGGTATATCTCACTGGTCATCCCCAAAGCCAACACCTCCTTTGGCCGCCATTCCTTCCAGTTCTCTGCTGCCAATGACTGGAACGAACTGCAAAAATCTCTGAAGCTGGAGACTCTTATCTTCCTCACTAACTTTAAGCATCAGTTGTCAGAGCAGCTTACCGATCACTGCACCTGTACACAGTCATTCTGAAATTAGCCCACCCAACTACCTCATCCCCATATTGCTATTTATTTTGTTAATTTGCACCCCAGTATCTCTATTTGCACATCATCTTTTGCACATCTATCATTCCAGTGTTAATACGAAATTGTAACTATTTTGCACTATGGCTTATTTATTGCCTTACCTCCATAACTTACTACATTCGCACACACTATATATATATTTTCTGTATTTTTGACTTTATGTTTTGTTTACCCCATATGTAACTCTGTGTTGTTGTTTTTATCACACTGCTTTGCTTTATCTTGGCCAGGTCGCAGTTGTAAATGAGAACTTGTTCTCAACTGGCTTACCTGGTTAAATAAAGGTTTAATAAAAAAAAGATGATTTATTTTTTGACTGCCTTTTTTGCCATTAATGAAGGTGTTATTCAATGCGTTTCTCTAGGCTATTGTAGGCCAAATTCTATATTTTATCAAATAATTTATATATATATATTTGTTTAATACCTAAAGGGGTCCTAAAATTCAAATTCAAATAGCTAAATGATCCACAGTATGACCATCTTAAAACAATGACATATGTCAGCTTACAAGAAGGGTGTCACATCCCTCCAAAGAGTTCCAGACACTTGTAGAATCTATGCCAAGGTGCATTGAAGCTGTTCTGGCTCGTGGTGGCCCAACAACCTATTAAGACAGTATGTTGATGTTTCCTTTATTTTGGCAGTTACCTGTATGCACCAATTTATGGAAACAAAATGTCTCCCTTGACAGCATGGCTACTCAATTATTTAAAAAAGTTCTGAGTGTTCATGGTCCCTGAGTTCTAATTCAAATTCAGACTTATTATTGCGGTTCAGGGAAACCACACAAGAACAACCACAAAGGCTACACAGTCAGTTTATGGTGATTGGATAAATACATGTTTTCTACTCTGAGATAGGCCTACAACTACAACTTAAATATTTAGCATTATTTTATGCATTGGCAAGTTATAGAATGGTATAAGAGTTACACAAAACAAAAAAGTTGAGTTGGTTGTGTTGTAGAGTGTTGAACAGTATATCCTATGTAAAATACAGTGAGCAAAATAAAACAGAAACTTACTTATCAATTAGGTGGTATGTATCTTTTGGGACTTAAAACAATTAAAGTGGCCTATGCACCTTTGTAGTTAATAATAGTAAGTAATAGCCTCATGAGACATATAGTTGATTACAGATCTCTGTATACAACCTGGGGATTTTCCACATCATCCAGTCTGTTGTACACGTGAAGTTATCAGGAAACACAAACAGTGAGTCAGTAACCTTCTTCGCCATGGCCCATATTTCAGCAATCCATCCTCCATTAACCTAGACTAGTGGGTGTGACGGTCATCAGTGTGTTGATTTTAAACAACGCCATGTTAGGGCCAATACTGGTGGATTATCAACAATCATGTGACCACTTCCTACGCTCAAATGGAGGAGTAGAACATACAGTGCCTTGCAAAAGTATTCATCCCCATTGGCATTTTTCCTATTTTGTTGCATTACAACCTGTAATTTAAATGGATTTTTATTTGGATTTCATGTAATGGACATACACAAAATAGTCCAAATTGGTGAAGTGAAATGAAAAAAATAACTTTACGATATATACAAAATAAATAACGGAAAAGTGGTGTGTGCATATGTATTCATCCCCTTTGCTATGAAGCCCTTAAATAAGATCTGGTGCAACCAATTACCTTCAGAAGTCACATAATTAGTTAAATAAAGTCCACCTGTGTGCAATCTAAGTGTCACATGATCTGTCACATGATCTCAGTATATATACACCTGTTCTGAAAGGCCCCAGAGTCTGCAACACCACTAAGCAAGGGGCACCACAAAGCAAGCGGCACCATGAAGACCAAGGAGCTCTCCAAACAGGTCAGGGACAAAGTTGTGGAGAAGTACAGATCAGGGTTGGGTTATAAAAAAATCTCAGAAACTTTGAACATCCCACGGAGCACCATGAAATCCATTATTAAAAATTGAAAGAATATGGCACCACAACAAACCTGCCAAGAGAGGGCTGCCCACCAAAACTCACGGACCAGGCAAGGAGGCAACAAAGAGACCAAAGATAACCCTAAAGAAGCTGCAAAGCTCCACAGTGGAGATTGGTGTATCTGTCCATAGGACCACTTTAAGTCGTACACTCCACAAAGCTGGGCTTTACGGAAGAGTGGCAAGAAAAAAGCCATTGCTTAAAGAAATAAATAAGCAAACACATTTGGTGTTCGCCAAAAGCCATGTGGGAGACTCCCCAAACAGGTACTCTGGTCAGATGAGACTAAAATTGAGCTTTTTGGCCATCAAGGAAAACGCTACGTCTGGCGCAAACCCAACACCTCTCATCACCCAGAGAACACCATCCCCACAGTGAAGCATGGGGTGGCAGCATTATGCTGTGGGGATGTTTTTCATCGGCAGGGACTGGGAAACTGGTCAGAATTAAAGGAATTATGGATGGCGCTAAATACAGGGAAATTCTTGAGGGAAACCTGTTTCAGTCTTCCAGAGATTTGAGACTGGGACGGAGGTTCACCTTCCAGCAGGACAATGACCCTAAGCATACTGCTAAAGCAACACTCGAGTGGTTTAAGGGGAAACATTTAAATGTCTTGGAATGGCCTAGTCAAAGCCCAGACCTCAATCCAATTGAGAATCTGGGGTATGACTTAAAGATTACTGTACACCAGCGGAACCCATCCAACTTGAAGGAGCTGGAGCAGTTTTTCCATGAAGAATGGGCAAAAATCCCAGTGGCTAGATGTGCCAAGCTTATAGAGACATACCCCAAAAGACTTGCAGCTGTAATTGTTAGTTATGCACGCTCAAGTTTTCTGTTTTTTTGTCTTATTTCCTGTATGTTTCACAAGAAAAAATATTTTGCATCTTCAAAGTGGTAGGCATGTTGTGTAAATCAAATGATACAATCCCCCCAAAAATCCATTTAAATTCCAGGTTGTAAGGCAACAAAGAGGAAAAATGCCAAGGGGGGTGAATACTTTCGCAAGCCACTGTAGTACAAGGCCCCTTACCTTTGGCCTACTGCAATGACTGTTTGAGATGAATTCAGATTGCTGCATTTGTTGGAAAGAGTCTTTGCTTTTTTTTACGGGAAAACATCAGTATACACTTGTGATAAATACTATGAATTGAGTCACTAGGGTTGGTTTGTGTTACAAATAAACATTTAAAAGTATATGCAATTGAGAAAGTCAATGTGTTTGTGTTTCTATTTATATATTTGTATATATAAATATATTTGTACACAAACACACACACACACACATGCACAGTGTTTGGTATCAGTATTGGCACCAGTATGGCGTAGTGTTTGACAGAACTCATGATAAAATGGCAGTTAAGATAAAAGATAAGAGAAAAGAGTGCCCACATAGTATTGATTTGCTTGTTTTTCCTCTGTAGATGATCTGCAGATACAGTAGCTATTGCAGGTCTTATTATGTTTAGCGATATAAGCTACCCTGTAAATTGATTCAATAAACAGCAGGTATGGCTTTGCGTGCCAGCTCCACGTATTTCCTTAATCTATTGTAGGCAGGCCATTGTCTCTAAAGGCGCCAGGCTAGTTGGGTTATGGTCTCTATATCTTGATCAACAATGGGTATAGGGAGATTTGAACATGTACAGAACATCATGTAAAGTTATTTATTTATAGCCACATGCTTGGAAACATACATAATTTCCTTTATTTTGACATTAGCTATAAAATGGATTGAGCAGATGTTGTTCCATGAAGAACTTTCCATCCTGCCGACCCCGTTCTCCCCCCTCAGACACGTTCCCACAGGTGACTGGCCCTGAGGTCACTCTCTGTCTATGTGGCCTTGCTAGCGGCAGATGTAGTACCTTTTTGTTTTTACCAGACAATGTGATTTTAACCACAAACCTTAGCTTTACCCAACAGGGTAATAACCACACATTTGTGGTGGTGTGAGAATGCACAAGGCCGTAAAACTAAATAGCTTGTTCTTGCTGAAAGGTTATGACTGGATTTTCCAGTGTACAGGTCAAAGAGAACATCGGACAATTCTAAATCCTGCTGCCTGCTCTTTCCTGCCGACCACTTCTACTACAGGAAGTTCAAGAGCGTTGAAGCTGTTGTGGCTCAGGTGATTGGTCTAAAGAAATGTGAACCCAAAAATACCAAATAGGTGGTCTGTATGGATGCCTTTAAAACATATATTTTTAGGATTATCCATCTCTATGTAAGGGGGTTTATTGTGCCTGTCCTTTCAGCCCAATGGTCAAATGCTACTTTCCAAAGTTTGTACCCCAATTAATGTCAATTTATGGAATGGAGAGAGAATGTATTTCATTTTTGGACTGATAAGCAACTTCTGCCCTTTCCGTGCGCCATTTGTGAGTTGCTTCAATGGGAAGGGTCGGGGCCCGGGGAGTCTGCCAAATCTGACTTGTTCTATGTTTCATGAAGCAGAGAACATGCAGTACATTTGAAACCCTAGCATGCTAGATGCCATCATTATGTAGTATTAGTATGCCATAGATAAGGCATCAGGATTTCCCTGTCTCTCAGTAACCCCATCCGTTCTATTTACCAGCTTTGTTCTCAGAAGTTGTGTCCAGAACTGGAGGTACTTCTCGATATCGGATACATCTGGACAAAAGCTCACTGACTTGTTTTGGGTCATTTGCATTTGGGTTAACCATTGTTGTCTATCGATATCGGAACTCCTTTTCGGGAATGGTAGGTTTGTTTCATAATTTGATGAGAACTTTTGATAACTTTAGAGCTTTTGTATCTGAACTGTCTGTCAAACAAGTTATTTAATACAGAAGGCTATTATTCTTTTAAAAGCTTTGCTACATAAACCCGACATCAAAGCAATCCTAATAGTGTTTGATGTTATTCAGGATTAGTTAGATTAAATAAAAGATAAATGTCAACAGTTCAATGCTGCTATTCAGTCAGATGACTGGATAAATGCTGCTATTCAGTCAGATTATTAAGGAGACATGTTGGAATTTCATTTTGGTATGTTCAGTATGAGTTAATTCATTCGCTTTTGATGTTGAACTTTCAGGCCTGTTTGCATTACGCATGGGTGTTAAAGACACCCCACCTTCTCTGTGCCAACTGGCAAGCCCTCTCCTCTCCTGACTGCACAGCTACTGTGGCACCACACTGGCAGGGATTAGGAGAGAGCTTCAGGGCACATGGTGCCATAGGTGTCAAGGCAGTGTGTCAGGCATAAGCGCTAGCTACCCCACAAGTTAACCCAATGCTGAGGGGATATCAACACAGGTTCAAGTGCCATTTGGCTGCCTTCCCCTCCACAGGGCCTGTATGTGCCAGCTACACCCATCAGTATGTAGTAACACCACTGCCTTGCCCATCACTATTAATATGGCTGCTGGGGCTGCCAAGATGGCTGCAGCCAAATCCTTGTTCCAGGATAGATTCCCCTGGGTGTTGGTGTGACTTTGAGCCGCCATGCCCATGACACAGGCCCAGTCCCTGCAGCCCCAGAGACCTGTAGTGAACTCTGGCATAACTGGCGGACTGACTGGGTCAAAGGCTCACCACCCTGCCCACCGACCAGCCTGCCTGTCCACCCGCCGCCTGCCTGACTGGCTGGGATGCTGTGCAATAAATGTCCCTATGGCAGTGATTTAAGTGTCTGTGTGGAAAATGTCCCATAATGGAACAATGGTAAACAGTGGGTCAGAATGTACTGTATGATGGTCTGGATTAGAGGTTGTCACACATTGACCCGGGAGTCTGGTGACATAACTTCATCTTAAAAAAGAAAAGGAAAAGCATCACACTCTAAGTGCTCTGATGCAATCATTTATTTCCACCGTTTCGACAGCCAAGCTGTCTTCATCGGGGTATACTGACAAACACTGCAGGTCACCAGTTTATATAACGTTTCAGAGGACACACGCAGGTGTTGGTAATTATGACCGGCTGTGGCATGATTTCATTGGTCGATTTACAAATATCAATAGTACATATAAAAAAGCATGAATGAATAACATACGATCATCGATACAATTAGACTACATCATATAGGCCTACAAACACAATATTATTTACAACAGATAGCAAAAACACAATAATCACAGGAATGGCTTCAGCTCAATCTCTACGTTGAGAGTGAAGGGAGCCAGGGTCTTTCAATTAAAGATTCAGGCAGCCTCTCGTTTTAACAAAGAATTATCAAGGTCACCCCCTCTCCTAGGGAGGGTGACGTGTTCGATGCCAATATAGTGAAGGGACGCAATAGGGTGGTTCGCTTCCAAAAAGTGGGCAGCAACTGCGTACGTCAAGTGTTTGCGCCTAATGGTGCTACAGTGCTCAGAGATTCTTACATTTAGTTATCGCTTCGTTTTGCCCACATAATTTTTACCACACAGACAAGTTATTAGATAAATAACTGCCTTAATGGAGCACTTGATAACACCTTTCATTGGGATCTGTTTCCCTGTTTGGGGGTGTATGAAGGATCGACATTTGTAAGTGCCATTGCATTGAGCGCAGCCATTACACTTGCAGTATCTATACGGTAGTGGCGCAAGGAGGCGTTGTGGGGGGGTATTTTGTTGTGTTAAATAAGAGTTTACCAATTGATCTCTGAGATTTCTGCCCCGCAAGAATAGGACCAAGGGAGGGTCCGAAAACACATTAACGATACTGTCATCGGATCTTAGAATGTGCCAATGTTTGTGGAGGATTCCCTTAATTTGTTCAGAGCATTTTGAATAGCGCATAGTGAGAACTCAATAATTATTATTTTTATCTCGATTTTGTTGACTGTTGATCTTTCCATTTTTGTACCCCCTTTCATTGAATTTTCTTTGCATCCCAGCCATGTTTCTGTCGAAGTTTGATTGTTTTTTGCAAATTCTTTTGATTTGACAGAATCGGCTGTCGGGCAAACAGTTTTTCAAAGGAAGTGGGTGACATCTATCAGCCTTCAACAAACTGTTACGATCAATGGGTTTCTTGTAAAGATCTGTGTATAGAACATTATCCACACAAATAATCAATTTATAAATTGATAAGAGCTATTGATAAGAGATAGGTAAATGAGTAATCTGTTTGGAGAAGGGGATTGTAAATACACATAGCAATTGTTTTAGATTATTTTTCCTGATGATCCCTGGAGACTAATATGAAACCAGCCATATGGAAGCAAACTGAAAATGATATCAACATGACATGTACTGCGGCCCCTTTTCCACTGTGAAATAGGATATAAATAGCTGTTCCTTTATTTAGAATTTAAATTGTGTGCCCTCATAATTTGCTTGGATAAAATTAGGAGACCCAAGCTATAGGCTTCTGTAGGGCTGAACCTGCCGAGTTGTTGTATGCGATTTAAAATGTACAGTGGGGAAAACAAGTATTTAGTCAGCCACCAATTGTGCAAGTTCTCCCACTTAAAAATATGAGAGAGGCCTGTAATTTTCATCATAGGTACACGTCAACTATGACAGACAAATTGAGGAAAAAAAATCCAGAAAATCACATTGTAGGATTTTTAATGAATTTATTTGCAAATTATGGTGGAAAATAAGTATTTGGTCAATAACAAAAGTTTCTCAATACTTTGTTATATACCCTTTGTTGGCAATGACACAGGTCAAACGTTTTCTGTAAGTCTTCACAAGGTTTTCACACACTGTTGCTGGTATTTTGGCCCATTCCTCCATGCAGATCTCCTCTAGAGCAGTGATGTTTTGGGGCTGTCGCTGGGCAACACGGACTTTCAACTCCCTCCAAAGATTTTCTATGGGGTTGAGATCTGGAGACTGGCTAGGCCACTCCAGGACCTTGAAATGCTTCTTACGAAGCCACTCCTTCGTTGCCCGGGCGGTGTGTTTGGGATCATTGTCATGCTGAAAGACCCAGCCACGTTTCATCTTCAATGCCCTTGCTGATGGAAGGAGGTTTTCACTCAAAATCTCACGATACATGGCCCCATTCATTCTTTCCTTTACACGGATCAGTCGTCCTGGTCCCTTTGCAGAAAAACAGCCCCAAAGCATGATGTTTCCACCCCCATGCTTCACAGTAGGTATGGTGTTCTTTGGATGCAACTCAGCATTCTTTGTCCTCCAAACATGACGAGTTGAGTTTTTACCAAAAAGTTATATTTTGGTTTCATCTGACCATATGACATTCTCCCAATCCTCTTCTGGATCATCCAAATGCATTCTAGCAAACTACAGACGGGCCTGGACATGTACTGGCTTAAGCAGGGGGACACGTCTGGCACTGCAGGATTTGAGTCCCTGGCGGCGTAGTGTGTTACTGATGGTAGGCTTTGTTACTTTGGTCCCAGCTCTCTGCAGGTCATTCACTAGGTCCCCCCGTGTGGTTCTGGGATTTTTGCTTACCGTTCTTGTGATCATTTTGACCCCACGGGGTGAGATCTTGCGTGGAGCCCCAGATCGAGGGAGATTATCAGTGGTCTTGTATGTCTTCCATTTCCTAACAATTGTTCCCACAGTTGATTTCTTCAAACCAAGCTGCTTATCTATTGCAGATTCAGTCTTCCCAGCCTGGTGCAGGTCTACAATTTTGTTTCTGGTGTCCTTTGACAGCTCTTTGGTCTTGGCCATAGTGTAGTTTGGAGTGTGACTGTTTGAGGTTGTGGACAGGTGTCTTTTATACTGATAACAAGTTCAAACAGGTGCCATTAATACAGGTAACGAGTGGAGGACAGAGGAGCCTCTTAAAGAAGAAGTTACAGGTCTGTGAGAGCCAGAAATCTTGCTTGTTTGTAGGTGACCAAATACTTATTTTCCACTATAATTTGCAAATAAATTCATTAAAAATCCTACAATGTGATTTTCTGGATTTTTTTTCCTCAATTTGTCTGTCATAGTTGACGTGTACCTATGATGAAAATTACAGGCCTCTCTCATCTTTTTAAGTGGGAGAACATGCACAATTGGTGGCTGACTAAATACTTTTTTTCCCCACTGTAACTTAAGAACGGGAAGCATAGAAATAGCACAGATGGAACAGATTTACCGCTTCTTAGACTTGCGTTTAATGAGAATGACAGATCTATAGCACACATTTCTATGTGAATTTGGTCGGGATCTGAACACGTTCTCTCAGTGTATTCTATTGAGTCTGTCGACAACATTCTAATTAAAGGTGCCCCTTACTTAAAATGATGGCTTAAGGTAAATGTACTGTTGGCCAGCAAGTGGGAAGGTTTTCAGCAGTTGAATGAAATGTATTCATAGCCTGCAAGGTAGCCACACCTGCAGAGCACATTAAGTGACTGAATAAGGTACAGTGAGGGGGAAAATTATTTTTTTGATCCCCTGCTGATTTTGTACGTTTGCCCACTGACAAAGACATGATCAGTCTATAATTTTAATGGTAGGTTTATTTGAACAGTGAGAGACAGAATAACAACAAAAAAATCCAGAAAAAAACGCATGTCAAAAATGTTATAAATTGATTTGCATTTTAATGAGGGAAATAAGTATTTGACCCCTCTGCAAAACATGACTTAGTACTTGGTGGCAAAACCCTTGTTGGCAATCACAGAGGTCAGACGTTTCTTGTAGTTGGCCACCAGGTTGGCGCACATCACAGGAGGGATTTTGTCCCACTCCCCTTTGCAGATCTTCTCCAAGTCATTAA